TCCAGGTTTTATGAGGTAGGCTGGGAGAATCATGGTACACATAACAGAAATAAGGATATTTGGAGGCTATTATGTGTTCTCAATGGGAGCTCTGGTAGCATAGTGGCTAAGACACTTGCCTGCTAACCAGATGGCTGGCGGTTCAAACCCACCAGCCACTCCTCGGAAGGAAGGTTGGGCAATCCTACTTCCGTAGTGATACTGCCTCGGAAACCCAAGGAGGGGTCGCTATGAGTCGGGGCCGACTCGACGGCAAAAAAAAAAAAAAAAAAAAATGTGTTCTCAAGGGTGAGGGAGAAAGTAATGCAGTTAATTTCAGAAATACTAAATTTGATTAATATGGGCTAAGAAGGAAAAGATGTCCAGCAAACCATTGGAAATAACATTTAAATATATATATTTGTACTTTAAAGTCAACTCAACCCTTTTAAAATAGCTGTGATCTAATCCTGTCAAGAACTCTATGGTGTTTCCATATTTAGCAATGTAAAAACTCCTAAGTGGTTGAGCCAGACTCCAGCTCACATTATCAAAATGCCAAACCCATGGTTGTCTCTATTGTATCTCACTACCTCCTGTAAATGCCTGTTTCTAACTGGGAGGTGTTCTGGGCTAGATTTAGATGTGGATTAGGCCAGTCACATGGAAGCATTGGGAAGTGTTAGAGAATAAGGAAAAATTAGTAAAGAAATTCTCTACTTAGGAAATGGGATGAGGAGAAAACCTATAGAAGGAAGACTGAGGGAGGTGAGAGGGCAGATAGGATACAGTGGCTTGGAAATCAAGGGAGGCCAATGTTTCAAGAAGCAAGGGTTTGTCAGCACTGCCAAGTGCAGCTGAGAGTCGAGGACCCAAGAAGCAGAGGAATGGCTCTTCAGTCTGAGGATGAGCATGTTAGTGGAGAGACCTTTGTAAAAGAGATTTCAATAGAGCAGAAGCAGCAGTTTTCTAGGGATAAGAAGTGACCACACCAAAAACCAAACCCACTGCCATCGAGTCAATCCTGACTATAGGAAGTACAAACTATCTCAGCAAGTTTCGTGGAGAAAGGAAAGTGAAGAATAGGATAGTAGCTGGAAGGGAAAAAGTAGTGAAGCAGGGAGGAATATGGGCATCTTTGCATGTCAGGCAGAGTGTAGAACAGCAGTAGAGGGATAGAGATGAATGAGGCCAGAGAGAGGATGATTAATGGAGTGAAGTCCTAGTAGAGGCATGTGGTTGAAAGCACAGCTGGGAGGGCACTGCTTTCTCAGAAGACTGAAAGAAATAATGTGGAGGGTTCATAGGTATTTTCCAGGTAGAAAGGAATGACTGACTGGTCAATTCAAATGGCCATGCACTGGGATCTTAGACTGAAGCATCTTACAGGTACTGCAGTGTAGTAAATTACTTAGTGTGGCTTTTCTAGCCGTAAGTCTTTGTAAACTCTGTGGTGGAATTTGCTGTGAGCAACTGAGGAGCTCCTGATTGTAAAAATTATCTACCTGGGGTATTTCTGTTGGGTGCAACACAAAGCAATGTTCTAGGAGTTTCCTGCTCTCTCTCAGGTGCTTAGAATTCTGATGTTAGGATTGGTTAGTTTGGCCACTCTGCCGGGCTCAAAAGGAGACCCTAGAGGCAGAAGAAGTCTCTCTCTGACTGCTGGTTGAGGAAGACATGCTGCTGAAAGAGACACATGCTTCTGAAAGAGACATGTACTGCTGGGAAAGAGACACAAGAGACACGCATTGCTGAGTGAGACACCAAGGGACACGCACGGCTGGGAGAGAGACTGTGAGAGACTGTTGGCTGAGAGAAGTGGGCTGGGACAGAGACTGAGAGTTTTTCCTAAACTGGGATTGTAGCCTGGTGCTTCCCTAATAAACTCCATAATCTGAGTTCTGTGTGGCCACTGCAGCGAATTATCGAACCCAGCAGAGAGGTGGTGGGTGCTTTAGGTGGAATGGTTGGTGAAAGGGCTGGAGGGAGGAGGCAGCATGTCGGGCCTCGCAGGAATAGGCCCTGGGTTTCTGACAGTGACTCTGTCCTCCTCTTGTGTGGTTAGAGGAGGTCAGGAGATGTCGCCTCCCTGCCCTTTTTGCAGGTATCTTCTCTGTGGTCAACTAATTGAAGTAAGAATCTCTCCTCCCAAAGAGTGCAATACCTGGGAGGGCTATCCATGGCTTTCTCTTTTAATGGGCAGGGGGTTAGGTCCCTTTGCACAGCTATTCAAATTCTTGTTACTCATTGGCACACTACTTAGCACTGACATACTAACTAACATTGGAGCCACATTATGAAACACTAGGAATTCCTTGATGGTATTGGGATTTTCATATTTATCATTTCATTATTACTTGAATGGAATCTTTTAGGTAGCATATAAAATGGCTAGTATCTGATTGATTTTTGATACACAAAATAGCAATTTCAAATCATTCCACCTTTTACAAAACCTGCTTAGAAAACAGCAAACATAATAAGCAGTTTTTTCTTTCTCTACACAAACAACCTGTGTACTTGGAGGATGGGCTAGTTTCTATACACAATTAAGTGGAACTTTTTTTTTTTGTTTCAAGAATGCAATCTCAGTAAGATAACCAATATCCCTTCCTCAGGCCCTTCCTATGTTAATGGTCTTAATTTGTAGGGCAGTTCGTCAGGGTAAGGGGTAACATATCAAGCGGGCAAAACTAACTGCTAAGTCCAGCAGCTCATTTATCCACAATATTGACCCCATCAGCACCATATTCTAACAAGATTAGTCTTTATTTATATTTATTATAAATATATAATTTTATTAGTATATTTATATTATATTTATTTTTAAAAAAACTAAAGCAGGACAAAGCATACATATGCTAAACAAAGTAATTGATCAATTCATCATTTAATTAATTTTCTTCATTTCCCCTCTGTATTTCTAATAACAAATAGCAGACTCCCAAAGCTTTTCAAAGTTACTTCCTGGATTTATGTATTTACCACATTAAAATTGTGGTTCTGTTCAAAGTGCTCGGAATGAGTCAGAATACAGAAGAAATAAACATATAACCCAGTTTAGGTAATTGTTTCAACAGGGTTAGAGAAAAGTTTCCAGCTTCCCCTTTTTGCACCTAGGTTACTAACTTTCCTTCTAAGAGGGAGAGACAGAGAGAGAGAGAGAAAGAGAGAGAGAGAGAGTGTGAGTTTGCAATTCTCTTATTTACTGCATAGTGTGAGTCCACTTTGCTCTCACACACAAGGCAAACACACAGTCCAAATACACAAAGCACACACCCTTGGGAATCACACTCAGACAACTGAACAGGACAAAAAGAAACACACCAGGCCTCAAAGGATTTCCACCAGTCTGCCTATCCATCAATCCTGCCAGGGCAGTCTAGGGGACATCGATTATAGAACTTTCCCTGTTGGTCACCTCTCCTCCCTCCTCCTAGACTCCTTCAGAATCTGATCCTTACCTCAAACTGTCCAAAGTCCCTTGAAATCTGAGCCCAATCAACTCATGCTTACTAAGCAAATTCCTTTTGCCAAAGACTACTGTTTTTTTTTTTTTAATCCTTTAGCCACAGCATTTATCACACTGATTAAAGCTTAGTTTAGATAACTTATTGATCTACCCTTTCAAATCCAGTCTCTCTAAAGCAGAGGTTCTTAACCTGGGGTCCACATATTGCATTAAAGAGTCCATAAATGTGGGTTATAAAAATGTCTTTGTTTTCACTGATCTCTAATGATAATTTAGGATTTCCTTATGAATATAGACAGCAAACCACATTATTATTATTAGCAAGACCTATGACTTTGTCACCAGTAGAAATTACAGATATTTCATATCACATTATAGTTGTTACAGATATCTTGAAATATTATTCATATTCATCACTAGTTTGAAGTTTGATAATAGAACCACTTCTAGATTTTTTTTGTCTAATGCATAAGAAACATATAAATAACTATATCACAATTTATTTTAAAAATGTAGTAATTGTGTTTCAATATAATTGATTTTCTCTATAATTCTATGTGTTTTATTCCATGTATTTAAAAATATTAATCTGAGACAGTGTCCATAGCCTTCATCAGATGCTAAAGGAATCCATGACACCAAAAGTACCTCTTACCTGCTCTGGAACTATTTAATTTCATTCTTTGCCCTGATTCTGATTCTCCCTTCCACTCCTAAATTTCTTCTTCTACTCTAACATATATAAATGCCCCTGGCCAGCAAAAAAAAAAAAAAAAAAAAAACAGGATAGCAAATCAGTTAAGTGCTTTGAGTCCAAAAAAACCAGTTGATGTTGAGTCAATTCAGACTCATGGTGACCCTATGTGTGTCATAGTAGAACTGTGCTCCATAGGATTTTCAATGGCTGACTTTGCAGAAGTAGATCACTAAACCATCCTTCTGAGGCTCCTCTGGATGGACTCAGTTAGCCACTGAGCCATTAACCAGTCCTTGTATATGCCCTTCAGCAAAGCCAAATGATTCTTCCTGCCCCTTTCCCAGTCTCTCAGCAGTCCCCACTTCAGCTCACAAGCTAAGTCCAGAAACTTCTTTCAGCTTAACCTAAAATTATTAAGTGCTCTTTTAACCTTTCCTTCTATACAGTGACATTTCCAAGACATATTAACAAGTCAAGTCCTAACACCAGGCAAACCTTAAGGTCTCCTCTCATTCTGGGAACTAAACCTTCTTATTCTCTCTTGGGATCAGTCAGTCCAGGAAGATGAGGTAAAGGGAGAGCCAAGCAAAACTGGCAGTTCTGACAACACAAGCAGATGTGAAAAGGAATGGGATCAGGTGCATGACACAACCAAGCATTGCACTTCTCTGGAAGTCAAGGATGTCTGGGTAAGCCAACAACTATGTTCACTAAGTTAAAAATTACTACCAACACCAGTGATGTGTGGCATAGTTGCTTCTGTAGAGACAAAAGTGTCCTGCTCTATCACCCGACAGCCTCCAGTTGACTAGCTCCAGTGATAAAAGAAATATGCAGATTTATGAAACTTACTCAGAAAGAGAAAGAAGGATGCCATGTGTGGGATGCGTGCCATTTGGACCAGTGTTGACCATTCCCAGTGGAGACACTGAAGTTGCTTAGAAGCTGGGTGACAAATACTGTGCTCTCACCTCAAAGAGGAAGCAGCAGTGTGGTTTTCAGCTCGCTGAAAAACAGAGATGGCTTGCACAAGGCAAAACTGGTTGCAATATATGGTTCTTTGCTAATCACTCAAATTTGGGTGTGAGAAAGTTAGTGAATCAAATATATACAGATTAAAATAAGAAAACATGATTCCCATTCTCGCTAAATATGTATCTTTAGGTAATCAGGAGGGAATTGAAGTAAATTGAATAAGTGAAAAAAGCAACCAGAAATTTTCTTAACCTTTACCTCTTTTCTCATTTTGGGAGAAGTGAGGAACAGAGAAATGAGAGAAGGGGCCCAGGAAAACATGACTTTGGGGTGACAGGTGGTGGGAAAAGATGACAGGCTCTAGAGTCAGATTGCCTGGGTTTCTACACAGATTCTTTAAGTAGCTATGCATCTTAGAAAAGGTAATTAACCTTTTCTCAATCCTCATCTGTAAAATGGGGATACTAATAGTATGTACCCTGTAAGATTTCTTTGAGAGTTGAATGAAGCAATTCATTTAAAGTATTTAGAAAACTATCTTGTACATAGTAAAAACTCAATAAATATTAGCTACCAGCATCACAATCATGGGACTTCAAGTGAATCTTCATTCCCTTACTTAAATGGAGCACCGAGGATGGTGGGGGAGGAGTAGGATGCCTAAATGCAACAGTTGGCACTGAACCCTGGCCAAGCAAATCCTACGTTAATCCTAGAAGGCAAGACCATACAAGGGATGAATTCATAGATCAAGCATAGATCTAGATTGTTCAGTAACAAATTGAAGTGTTTCAGGCCACAGTTGCAAGAAGATGCCTGTTGTATCCATCCATTCAACAATTTTCCAATACTTCAGTATTCTGGGTGTTAAGATAGGTTCTGCACATAGGAAGATATTCACAATCCATTCTGTGTTCTCAGAAAGCTCCCACTTAATCAGATAATTACAATGTAATATGGCGAGTACAACAATCAATGTGGCACCTAAAAGGGTGCGGCAAAGTCAAGATAGATGGGGCTGAGCCAAGGTATAGTTGGGGAGAAACAGTCTAGCATGGACAGTGGCACATAAGCAGTACCTTCCTGTTGTTGTTAGATACTGGTGAGTTGGTTCCAATTCATAGTGATCCTATGTACAACAGAATGAAACACTCTCTGGTCCTACACCATCCTAATCATTGCCATGTTTTAGCCTATTGTTGCAGCATCTTAGGCTGGATTCTCTAGGGAAGCAAAACCAGTGAAGTTTATGTGTGTGTGTGTGTGTGTGTAGATACATAGGTAGATAGAGATATTTATCACAAGGAGATGGCTCATGCAGTTGTAGAGGCTGCCAAGTCCCACACTTCAGACTAAGTCAAATGTTTTCCTTGATTCACATAGCTGCAGGGGCTGATGAACTTCAGGTTGGCTGATAAGATGGCAGGCTGCTATTTCACAGGTGGCAGAGGCTAACTAATCTCAATATCAGCAGTGATCGCAGGCTACTAGCTCAAGTCCAAAGAACCACAAGTCAGATGAGTTTGAGACAAATGCAGGATCCAGGCTGAGCAAAAACCAGATAGCATTGCCAGAATGTCCATATATATTGGATGCAGGCCACACTCCTAAGGAAACTCCCTTTCAACTGATTGGTTGTTCATAGCAGATCTCACCGTGGAGATAACTGCATTGTATCAAATGTCATCATGGCGTTGACTACATCATAACATAATTGACAAACTACTTTGTAACTGACAAACCACTGAGAATCATGGCCCAGCCGAGCTGACACACAACCTTAACCATCCCATGCAGCCACTGTATCAATCCATCTCATTGAGGGTCTTCCTCTTTTCTGTTGAGCTTCTTTACCAAGAATGATGTTCTTCTCCAGGGACTGGTCACTCCTGATAACATGTCCAAAGCATGTAAGATCATGTCTTACCATCCTTGCTTCTAAGAAGCATTCTGGCTGTACTTCTTCCAAGACAGATTTGTTCCTTCTTCTGGAAGTCCATGGTATATTCAACATTCTTTGCCCATGCCATAACTCAAGGTCATCAATTCTAGTTTGGTTTTCCTTATTCATTGTCAAGCATTCATATGCATATGAGGAGAATGAAAATACCATGGCTTGGGTCGGGCACATCTCAGTTCTCAAAGTAATATCTTTGCTTTAGAACATTTTAAAGAGGTCTTTTACAGCAGACTTGCCCAACGTAATACATCATTTTCTTGACTGCTGCTTCCATGGTCTTTGATTGTGCGTACAAATAAAGTGAGATCCTTGACAACTTCAATAATTTCTCTGTTTATCATATTTATTGCTTATGGGTCAGGTTGTGAGGATTTTTGTTTTATGTTGAGGTGTAATGCGTACTGAAGACTGTAGTCTTTGATCTTCATCAGTAAGTATATCAAGTCATCTTCACTTTGAGCAAGCAAGATTGTATCATCTGCATATCACAAGTTGTTAACAAGTCTTCCTCCAACCCTGAGGTCAAGTTCTTCTTCATATATTTAAGATTCTCGGATTATTTGTTCAGCATACAAATTGAATAAGTATGGTGAAAGGATACAACCCTGATGTATACTTTTCCTGATTTTAAATAATGCAGTATCCCTTTGTTCTGTTTGAACGACTGTCTCTTGGTCTATGCACAGTTCTGCATGAGCACAATCAAGTGTTCTGGAATTCCCACTCTTTGTAATGTTATCCATACTTTGTTATGATCCACATAGTTGAATGGTTTTTTGCATAGTCAATAAAACAGGTAAACATCTTTCTAGTATTCTCTGTTTTCAGCCAAGATTTATCTGACATCAGCAATGATATCCCTTGTTCCATGTCCTCTTCTGAATCTGGTTTGGATTTCTGGTAGTTCCTTGTTGATGTGTCACTGCAACCATTTTAGAGTTATCTTCAGCAAAATTTTATTTGTATGTGGTATTAATAATACTATTTGATGATTTCTGCATTTGGTTGGATCATCTTTCTTTGAAATGGGCACAAATATGGATCTCTCCCAGTTGATTGGCCAGGTAGCTATCTTCCAAATTTCTTTGCATAGATGAGTGAGTGTCTCCAGCATTGCATCCATTTGTTTAAACATCTCAATGGCTATTCCATCAATTCCTGGAGCCTTTTCACCAATGCCTTCAGTGCTGCTTGGACTTCTTCCTTACATACCATCAGTTACTGATCATATGCTACCTCCTGAAAGGCTCAGTGTTGACCAATTCTTTTGGGTATGATGTCCCTGTGCATTCTATCCATCTTCTTTTGTTGCTTGCTCCTTCATGCAATATTTTGCCCATTGAATCCTTCAATATTGCAATTCGAGGTATGAATTTTTCCTTCAGTTTTTTCACCTTGATAAATGCTGAGCATGTTCTTCTCTTTTGGTTTTCTAACTCCAGATCTTGCACACTTCACTATAATACTTCACTTTGTCTTTCTCAAAGTAAATCTTTTGTTCATCTCTTTTACTTCATCATTGAAATCTTTTGTTCGGCTCTTTTACTTCATCATTTCTTCCATTCACTTTAGTTTCTCTCCATTCAACAGCAAGTTTCAGAGTCTTTTCTGACATCCAGTTTGGTCTATTCTTTCTTCCTTCTCTTTTTAATGACCTTTGCTTTCTTCATGTGTCATGTCCTTGATGTCATCCCACAACTCGTTTTCAGTCATTAGTGTTGAATGGGTCAAATCTATTCTTGAGATGGTCTCTATATTCAGGTGGGCCATATCCAAGGTCATACTATGGCTCTTGTGGATTTATTCTAATTGTCTTCAGCTTCAACTTGAACTTGCATAAAAGCAATTGACGGTCTATTCCGGAGTCCACCCCTGGCATTATTCTTACTGATGATACTGAGATTCTCCAGCATTTCTTTCCACAAATATAGTCAATTTGATTCCTGTGTATTCTATCCAGTGAGGTCCATGTATATAGTTTACATTTATGTTGTTGACAAGGTATTTGCAATTAGTAAGTTGTTGATCTTGCAAAATTCTATCATGTGATCTCTGGTGCCATATTTCTCAGCCATTGATCTTTCATTTTTGTTTCCAACTTTTGCATTCCAATCACTACTAATTACCAATGCATTATGATTGCATATTTGATCATTTTCAGACTGCAGAAGTTGGTAAAATCTTCAATTTCTTCATCTTTGACTTTAGTGGTTGCTGTGTAAATTTGAATAATAGTCATATTAACTGGTGTTCTTTGTAGGTCCATGGATGTTAGCTATCACTGACAGCACTATATTTCAGGATAGATCTTTTTCTTTTGTTTTGTTTTTTTCTTTTTAAGGGCTTTTATTAAGTTAATTGATACACAAAGATGTTCACAAAGTTATATACAAATATACCCTCCAGTGTTCTACCTGACACGCACACTAATGTCAGGAGAACTTGAGTAAGACATATAAGGAGCTAGAAAGCCAAGTGTCTAGCTAAGAAAAAGAGGACAGTGGATGAACATCCCATCTATTAACTAGCCTTTTTGTGTGTGTGTGTGTGTGTGTGTGATTTGGGTGAAGATTTACAGGGCAAATTCACTTCCATACAGAAGTTCACATATACTTTGTCTCATGTCATTGACCACAGTTTACCACAGTACAACAGCTCCCCTCCCACTTCCTCCCCATTGTTACCTTTTTCCAGTGTCCATCCTCCATGGACTCCTGCCCCCTGAGCTGTCTCCCTGTGTATAAGCAGCCCTTTTTTCTCCCATGATTGTTCTATCCAAAGAGTGTAGTGTATCTACTTGAGGTAAATGCCTGTCTTCTGTTTGGCTGGAAACCACAGGTGTGGGTTCAGTTCCAGACCTGAAGGGCAGCTAGGGGCCACAGTCTCAGTGGTTCCACCAGGCTCTATCAGACCAGCAAACCTGCTCCCCATCAGGATAGATCTTGTAATGTTCCTTTTGACAA